GATTTCGGTTAGACGAGGCTGTTGGTGTCTCGGTACGTACTCAAGGAAACGATCAAGTAAAACAGAGTACTTCAATTCTGATCAGAGTAGGCTAGATAAATTAATAATCCTTTAGATGGCTAGAATAATCGCTGGTGACATATACTCATCCTTCTCTACCAAATGTATCCTCCAAAATGCGATCAGATACAATCTATCACAGAACAGACCGAAGCCAAAATATAATCTGGACACGGCGCGACTCGAATGTACAACCCTCACAGTCACCCTGGCCCCCAGGAACTGGGAGCCTCTCCAAAGCAAGTCCTTGTGGGGGACCTCATTATCTGTGTGAACTTAGCCGTTCTGAAGAACGGGAGTGAACTCGAGATGGCTGACAGCTGTGCGTCAAACAGCGGGAGTGACCGTGTGGGGTTTTGTGGGTGTTTTACCATTAAATTCCGTGCCCTGGAAGACTTCTAATGAGGCGATGAGTGATGGTGAGGTATATGTACAAGGTGCAATGAGGAAGCACGGTAAATTGCATATTGCATTGGAATATTACTCAATGCGATGCAAGAGCTGGGAAAGGGTCAATTGGAGTTGTTAATAGCGAATGTTAGAAGGCGGCCCTTCAGAGGAGCTCTCCAAGGCGAACAGGTGCATGGCTCAGCAATTCAAAGTACTCAAGATGGATACACATGTTGCAGGCAACATTGGTTGATTTCTCTATATTGACTGGATGCTTCAGAGTGTTGTAAGATATTTCATGTGTATGTAGATCAAGACTTGTATGTGATCCATTCTTCATTCACTACTCCAATACGCCTTGAGTCGCTCCAAACACGGGCGCCACAGAAGGCGATCATCAACCTGTTTCGACCGGCCTACAGGAACAACAAGCTCTTGGTATCTTTTCTTCCTTGAATGCAATTTCATAGCCTGACAATCTGATGCGCGCTGTTGTCAGACACTTTCGCTCGTGTAAGACGTTCCAGTAATTCAGCAGAGCTGGCTACCCCTCACCAGGTCTGCGCGCGTCTGCTCTGTCCACTTTGCATGAACCTCTGGTTCAGTATTTCACCCCCGTAGTGGAGTTGGGGCGTGCGGAAGACGAACGTGAATTAGTGAATGATGTTACGTTTCAGAAAATCTCGTATCCTGTCGCTGTCACAGCCCCAAGCATCGATGCCGATCGAAACGATCTTGGCATCGAAATCGCTGTGCTGGAGCTCCTCCTCGATAGCAGCAGAGAATTGATTTGCATACCTCAGTCGTGTTCGATCCCAATTATTTTGCGGTATCATCGAAGTTGCTGGGAAGATATCAGCCGTGCGCACACCTAATCCGGCGATCAGGACAGCGCCTCTGTGGTCGTCGAAAGTCTTCTGATAGTCGTCCAGAATAGTTTTTCCGAACATTTCGAGGCCGACTTCTAAGTCTTCCTCTTCGTTCAGCCAGTCTTTGGGTGGGCCGGTGTTCGACTTACGTGCAACGAATATGAGTGCAGGGGGGCTATCTCCATGCAATTGTATACGAAACACCGTTTTTTGTTGCCTGTCAGTGTCTGTGTTCAAGCCGATCACTTCGGAACCTTGCTCGCTGCTCTCTTTGTTCATCAATGCAAACGTCCGTGTAATGCTACAGTCCATGATGCGACCGGTCTCGCGATACATGGCCAGCGCAGTTTGGATGTTCACAGCTACCGAACGCTCTCCAGATCCTCGCTTGATCATATGGATCAGCCTGCGCATGCATATCTCGGCTGTGTCCTGTAGCAAAGGTCTTGTGTATGGTACTTGTTCAATGTTATTAGTAGGCGAACGGACGGCCGGGTAATACGTGACATACGACTGTATAAAGCTGAGGTATCGTGTGAGCCCAGGAAGAAGAGGTAAAGAGGATGAGCGAGGTGGACTGGCAGCGGCTTGGTTTTAGTAAGGCAATCGCACGTGTCAAGCCTTCCTTCCTGCTTCACCACGACACGATCGTAGAAACAGATTCACCACAGAAATGAAAGGTGAAGTCAGAACGGAGCTATTCGTTCTCTTATTCATCGTGAAGCAACTACATGTCGCAGAACCTCATTAATCTCTAATGACCATCGTGCCAAGGGCCCTCGGTTTGGCTCCTGTTTGGGCATCCAAAAGCTACTCTTATGAGTCAACTTCGCACTGAACTGAACACAGACTCACCGCAAGAAGCGTGAAATGGCAAATAGCTTACGTCTGTAACTTTGATATAAGCTCAGACTTCTGATTCAAGGCGAGTACCTCAGTCCTTGTCGGCGTAGTTTGGGTAATTTAACAGATCTCCAGATGACTACAAGTGGGTCTGAAAACGTTTGCTCATGCTCCTCTCCAGATTGAATTCATTTTGAAGGCTCGCCGCCACTTTAGCTATAGTCACCTCCGGCAGCATTCGCATTTTGTGCTTTCAAGCGTCCACTTCCAATGATCCGAGAGCACACACATAAAGTAGTGGCTTTTGGTACTCATTCCTTGTTTTCAAACTAGTGTCACCCCATAGTTGGCTGGGTATCATCCTTGACTGGTATCTGCCCTCCCTCAAGATGCGGGAGTGGCTGTAAAGCCTTGAGGATGGAGATACTCCACATATGTCATGCACCCTTATGCAAATCCAGTATATGGAGATGACTGTAGTGTGTTGAATACGGGCACATCACCCCATTCAGGCACGTCATCTTCGCTGCGACGCCAGACCGTATCGAGATCACGGATCGCGCCATTAACAGCAGAACGCAAGCTGTCCTCAGATTGGTCAGAATCTTCGATGTCAAGGTTCGAGCAAAGCTCTGTATTCTGTGGAGTAATGATGCGCCGGTGGATTTGATCGCAGACCCGAACCAGACGCCAGTTGATCATGTCATTGAAGCGCGGTTCTGCGAGCATTGCCCTGCGAAAGTCAGTGAAGTGATCCTGGGGTAGAGACGCAACACAAACCTCACGTCCACTATCTTGCACCCGTATCCGATGTGTGACACTATCACGTCATTGTTCAACCTCTCTCTCCAAAATGAGTGGCGATCGCTCTCGTCACGAGAGTACAAAGGCATCAGTTTTGCGGCTTGGACCTCTTCCTGACCTGTGAACACCCTGTCACCTGGAATGCGAGACACGATGCGCTCTGTTCTTAGACTACTGTACCAGTTCTGAACTCGTGCAAGCTTCTCGCATGTGTCTGCGTTAGCTCTTCCGACCAGCTTATCCACAGCCAGTCTGTATATGTTTTGGTATTCAGCCATCACACGGATCTGCACCTCCCCGGTATCTGCGTCCAATCTCGCTAGCTGACGCTGACGCTCTCGTAACTGATCAGGTGTTGCGTTCTCCGGGGGGAACAATTCAATGGCTCGAGCCTCGAGATCCCAGTTGGTGATCAAGGTTGCGTAATGTTCAGCATAGACTTCACCCTCAACCCATTCTCGAATAAAGCTCCCTCCATCGTACCTCTCATTCATAATCTGCACATGTCAGTATATGCTATGATGATTTGGAGCTGGACTAACAGTGTTCCCTGCCAACGTGAATTCTGATGCCTTTATCACCGCGGTCCTTGCCTGCTCTTTGTCGAAGTCCTCTTGGACAGCCGGGTTGACATAACCATAGGCCTGTTCTATGACTCTACAAAGCATCTCGGCCGCCTGAATCAGTACTGGTTCATCTGCTGGAGTAATGAAATGGACGCTGTCCCGCGCTCGGATAGGCGTGTCGTTGGTGGGGCGTTTCTGGAGCTCTAAGCATGGCCGAATCCTCACAGGATATCGAACGGGAGGCTGTGGAACAAGCATGATCTCGATTGTTTCAATTGTCGCAAAAGCCTGGTTGTGCCTGTGGGTGGCGTCGCAAGGCTTGTAGAGTGGAGTGGAGTAGAGAAGCGGATCACAAGAACAACTCCAAGTTCTTCTTGGGGTGAAGCTGCAGCCTATTCCATGACACGTAGCTGCGGAGCTGGCTAAGTAGCGGTGCAGAGCGTCTCAGGGTCTTTTCACTTCCACTGTGATCCTCGTTGGGATCTCCATCTCAAGCTCAAGTAGGGTATTTCGTTTGCCTGGTGGCAAAAGCATGTCTTACCAGTATCGAATCGAACAAATGGCACCATGCTTACAACTTTTAGTGGCCACTTTACACATCCTAGTTGATTTTCAATCCAACAAGTTGGAACGGAGAGTGTCAATCTTAGGGTTGATGTTTCCCCCTGTCGCAGTAATACCCGTGACAGAGTGGCGAATACTAGATGACAGACAGGTGAAGGTGATTCATGATCCACCGACATTTCTGCATAGTGAAAATTCACTGCAGTCAGACAGTGCTTGCGACAAGCAACCAAATCTTGTGTTCATGTTCCTGCTGATATGTTCCTACGCCGAATTCGTACTTGGCTGATCTTCGACATTGTCGAATCTGGTCCCAGATCGCGGAGCCACCACGCATTTAGCAGATTACTGATAACATCTTGGACCTTTCTACAATATACCTGACTAAGAAATGCCCAGGCTTTTTTTTTGGGCATAGGCTGGAGCAGAGGTTCCTACAGCCGGTGAATGACACACATACGTCGCAAGAGGCTATTGCTTCAAAAGGTATTCATGTATGGAATAGGAAAGAAGAGCAGACTTTACGGGGACGCACTTGGCACCTTTCAATACCTCCGGAATGCAAATCAAGGGCGCCCTCCGACACCATTCAAGCTTTACAACAGTTCGTTTCTATACGGCCTTTGGGTAAGCCAAGCGCAGATGCTCTCATTTCCGTGGTCACTGAACAGTTTCGTGAGTAATGGGTCCCGTAACCCGCAGCCACACCAACATTGCGTAACGCCAGCCGGATGAGTCTCTGGTCTGACAGCTGGCAACCAAGCAGCGAAAATGCACGCCATTGATCCAAAGAGAAAAATAAATCTTCAACAATTCCAATGGTTTTCTGCCAAGACCAGCTGTTCCGAGTGCCATCAGGACGAGATACCGGCACCCTGACCTCCAAAAATCATCAAAAAGCAACTGAGCAGAGTGGGATTCGAACCCACGCCATTACTGACTGCGGAGGATGTTCAGAAATAACCTAAACGCAGCGCCTTAGACCACTCGGCCATCTGCCCTTTTAGTGCTTCTATGACGTTTTTGTCAATTTCAACATTTATGTTTTGGATAACTCTGTCAGAGCGCACATGCTGCAAGTTGAACGGAGGGGTTTGAATAAGTGAGCCTCGAGATATGTTGGATTCCGATGGCAAGGGATGAGTGGGTCGGAGCCTTAGCGAAGTACCTCGGCTCCCCACCAGAATAGCCCCTGACCGTCTCGGCTTGCCGCCAATAAGCCACGGGCCAGGTGATGTGTTTAAATATCACAATGTGAGATGCTCGTCGAGGGTTCCATCAACGTGAATACTTGCAGAACCACTGTTATATCCCGACCGTAGGACATGTTGAGCTCCTGAGCATGCTAGTGTGTCTCAAGGATACAACGGACGATGCATACAAATGTTGTGCTGCTATGACTATCGCGAGCGGACTGGGCACCCAATAAATGATATCGATACACCAAGAGGTCAAAGCAGAAGAGTTCATCAAATCGTGAACAAAATGGAAGACCCCATCGATTCACCGAGTGTCATGTAAATCCGGGCCATTGGTTCGTAATTCCAGCCTCATGCAATCGACACGCCTCAACTAACGAAAGAGCAACCAGAGAACGGTGCAACATTCACCCGTAGGTTTCAGATGACTAGAGCCACACCCTTACGTAGGTTTCACTTGTTATTCCTGAGTCGCGGCGTTCTCAGTGATGTTCTTGGATCAGCAGGGTGCTGTCCATAACGGTGTGCCGCAGCTCGTTTCGCTTATCCTGCTTCTTGGAAAGTGCATATCTCATGTGAATACGTGCTACTTTTCTCAAGATGGCGCGACTGACGTAGGCCATTATGCGACTGTCACTGACACTGTCTTGCTAATTGCCCTGGACAACTTCTCTAGATGCACTACCCTCAGTCGAAGCCATGATGTCGGTTTTTGTATTATTTAATGAAGGGAAATAGACGAAATTGGAGAATAAGAACTGTATGGCTCTCGGTGTGAAGTCTGCCAGCTGGCCAAAATGGACACTTCCCACTTATCATGCCCGAAGCAAGAGACAGAAGGCATACTATCCTTATTATAGAGATATAATCCAGGCATAATTGTATGATATTGTTATTCGGCTCTGCTGCACCTTGTTACCAGGAGCTAAAATCTAGATGTTGAAAACAACAAAAAGTCTTAGAAGCACAAAAAGGGCAGATGGCCTAGTGCTCTAAGGCGCTGCGTTTAGGTTATTTCTAAACATCCTCCGCAGTCAGTAATGGCTAGGATTTTGGATCAGCTCTAAAGCTTAAGTGCATGCATGAATTGTTGGACGGCTGTATCGTAAAGAACTCTTCTGCAAGGCAAGTACGGCGTGGAACTTATAGCTAGAAGCTTCCGGCGTGACGAGGTTCAGGGCCGTTCTTCGAACGTGACCTAGGAACCAAATATCTGTTGACTACATGAAAAGTAGGGAGCAGAACAAGATGCACCTTTAGTAGACTCTGTCTCCTCAAAGATCGAGCCGGCAAGTAATGGACTCAACATTCTCACTTTACATAGGGACGTAACATGGTGACACTGCATGCCTCAAGGCTTCTTGGATCAGAATTGTTTGGTCTCTGTCCATCGCTGGGTACAATAGAAGATCACAGGTGACTTTGTCTACAGTTTCACCCATTTGTATTCTCGAATTTCAAAGCTCTGTAATCTAGAGTGAAGCTCGAAAATATGCTGCGTTACTGTGTAAGTGAAGTTGAGTTCGCACATTTACCTAAGATCTATCTACGGTGCTGTTGACTACACGCCTTTCTCCCCCCAATCTACCTCCTAGTTTGCCTCTCAACTTCCGTTGCTAGCCTCCTTGATATCCCCAGTCGCCCTGAGCTGTATCGAAATGCCTTCAATCACAGTGAGTTGACCCTTGGTGACTATCAAGGCTTGATAGAGCGTTGCTGACACAGCCAGGACGAAGATGGCCTCGACTGGGTTGCTAGTCTAGGTCCTGACTGGGAATCGGAACTCGAAACCCGCTTCAACGACCGCTATCGCCGAGAAGCAGAGAAACAGGAAGCCGCAGTGATGGTGAATCGTTTGAAGGAGGACAAAGGACCTGGTGACGCGGATGGTCCAGGACCCCGGCCGGCTGACTTCTTGGAAGTGAGAAGTGCCTTCTTCGATGTCAAGACGGCGATTGACCCCTTAACACTCGCGAAAGCCGTAGAGCATATAAAAGAAGTCTTTAGACTGTGCGAAGCCCCTACAACTAAGGCTCTTATCTCGATGCGGAACTGGGTGAAGATGGGCCAAGAATGGGCTACCTCGCCTACCTGGTTTCTCTTCCTGAAGTCCATTGGGCGATATCCTCTCGAAGTATCTCCCCATCCGTGGGAGGCTTACGAAGAGGGATCTTGTCCAAGTAAGCGTCCGGAATTGCAAGGTCAAGGCATGTTTGCTACCACCACACCAGAACAAGCTGAGGAAATCAAGAACTTCGATGGCATACTATTCGGATAAGTTCATAGGAAACTGCGCATTTTACAGCGTTCATTCTGCTCCACAGCAATCACATTGATGGAAAGACTTGGTGACACTATTTTTGCTCATGTTCCGGCGATGGCCTCGAGGAACGTTCAGAATGGGGCTTCGGGGGCAATATCATATTTCCTATAGTATTTGATTATTCGAGTAAAGCATATCGAGCTCGGACAAACGCTACATTGGATTCATTTCGATAAGTAATGCCAGGTATTGTAGCTCCTCGATGAGCAACAGCGATAATTGAGAATCTATTGATTTCTACAAAACTTTTGAAGAATACAATTGGGAGACCGCAAGGAGTGCACGTGGCTGATGATCTGTGTAGTGATCTTACGACAGTATGTCTCTTCTTAGACTGAACCACTTTGGGCTGAGGTACTTCGAAAATATTCCTGACCTGTACTGCTCCGCACTTCCGGATATGCACGAAGAGAAGCGTGATCATAGATATCAAAAGAAAGCTGCGATGCAAAAGGAACTGCTAACCATGTCGCAGCCCAAAGAGCACTTCGAGCGCTGCGTTTATCGATCTCGCCCCATTGTGCCTTACGACACGATATGTAGTGGTCGTCGCCACGTGGTTCCCGGTTAGGGTTAGTCACTGTTTACCAGTAACGTTCCACCGACAGCTCAGAACCATCGCTCATTTACTCTACTTGCCAGTCCCTGTCCTGAGGTACTCAATCAAACCATCACTTCTTTAACACTTTATAGTGCTCACAAAAGTGACAAGCGCAGCCCATATGTCTGCCAGTACGACGACTGCGGCGTGCACCACGCTGACTTATATATGTTGGCAATGCATGAAGAGCGGTGCAAGAAGCAAGACAAAGAATCGAAGACAAACCTGCTACAGGTTTGCTCTGGATGAAGCCGCAGAGCGCGGCGATACCCATACGGTGACTGTGGTGGCCAGAAGCTCCTCGCATTACCCAAAGAGTTGGATGGCAGGAAAGAAGACCATACAAGAGGGTATCCCTTTGATCGGCGCCAGCATTACCAAGGAGTATATCGAGCTGATCTGTACCCAGCCAAGCTCCTGCGTTGTCCATGCCATCACCGACTGTCCAACGCGCGAACTTCCTGCAGAGCCAGTGGACAGGAGTACATTCGGAGACAACCTGCACTCCAGACTGGCACAACACCGTGCCCTCTGCTTCACGAAAGCTATAGCAGCAGATTTGACATCTGCAAAAGAGGTGGACATCAAACCTAAGGTGCTGTGTGCAGGCATTGACGGGTTCATCTGCAATGCTCAGAGAATCTTGCCATGGCTGCAAAAGTCAGAGCTCCAATTCGAGCTTGTCATGCGTCTTCCTGGCCTTAGTCATCCTAACGGCTGTGTTAGTCTTACCTGTACTAGGCGGCTTTCCAGTGACTGTCAGCCCAATCAAGAGGGTCGCTGTGGCAAGGACTGCGTCGATCCGCGTCTTGTTCGTGCGGAAATAATTGACATTAGACCTCAGAGAGGTACAGGTGAGCATCCTGCGACTCCTCGAGTGTGCGCATATTTGCTGTCAGCTCGTTGGTCCTTGTGAAGAGTACCGTGAAACCGACATCTTACATCTCAACATCGGTCGCAACCTGGTGCGAGACACCAGCAGAATGTCCAGAAGAACACATGAAGATATAAGAGAGAAGAGCTTGTGGGCGTCTTTCCAGGTTTCCGGGCCCACCTACTTGCGTAGGAGTTCAAGGATAACCGTTCTTTAGACTCCCCGGAGAGAGTGCTTCAAAAAGAAGACGTTGCAGAAGAAGAAATGAGAAGAGTGGTATGCTACTTCTCAGGTTTCCAAGCCCTGCCACTTGCAGGCAAGTGGGGTTCAAGGATTCCGTTCTTTATACTCCCCAGAGAGAGTACCACAGAAAGCAGTGCACCGCAGAGCGGCGACCACTGACCGCGGACATTTGTGTGAGTAAGGGCGTCCCCGTCTCCGGATCCATAGCCCAGAAAAAGCTGTGATGATATTAGCAGGATCTCTCCTGGGCCGCAAATGCGCGAGTAACAACATAAGTTGTTGCAAGCCCGGTGCGACAAAGAAGAGAAGGCAGAAGCGGGGGGCGCGTGTATATGTATGAGAAATTGTGCCAAAGCCCGGAGCCGAAGGCGCCGAATAGGCAGCAGCAGCCTGATTTGGCAACGTAAGCTCTTACAAGGTGCTCGGCGAGTGGGGCGAGGTGAAAGTGAATTCCGTGAAGGAGAAGTCAGGTAGACGACATCACTTATTTCCAAAATTGGTGCAAGGCGATCGGATATAGTGATAAACGCCGATCAAAATCGATCAGCCCCGGATATAGATAATGTTGGCTCGATGTACGGTGGTGGGCTGGACCTCGGAACGATGTCACATACTGGGACTGAGTGCTCCAAGTGAAGGACAGAACGAAATCTTCCTTAAGGCGACTTGTCCGTACCTCATGGTTAACTTCAAATATCCCGAACACAGTTGTCGCAGCAAACTACTAGCAAATGCATGGAAGATCCTTCAACGTACTTGCT